TCTGCCTGTGCAAGCATGTTAGTTGTTAAGGGAGATTGTGAGAGAGAAATGTCAACCACAGACTGAAAAAGGTCCAACTAGACGTACTCGTGAACAAACTGTTACAGTAGGTTGAGAAATCACTAGCACAGAGTCATATTACAGATTTATTTATGGCATAGAAAGTCGGGAAATCTGATTCAGTTTCCTGGAAGTTCAAGACACAGGCAGGATGTAATTTCTGGTTATGCAGTCATTGTTTCAGATTCATTTCCTCCACAGCATTCTCACAACACTGACAAGTTCTCTTATGGAGAACAAACTAACCAGGAAGTGACAGAAGGGACTTATTGAATATAATTTAATACTTATTACTGCTCTTTATCTCCCTCAGTGTTGGCATAGTCAGTTATTTTATATAAGCTCTAGCACTTCACTTGCCTAATGACACAACTCACTGGTGATATGGAAATTCAGAAAATACTATAATATAATATGTGGAAGTAAACTTTGCAACTTTTTATTTGTTAGCTCTTTTCTCTCTCCTCGTGTCCCCTCACTCTCTTCCCCGTGGAAGCTTATTTCCACCGCTGAAACAAAAGCCCTACATAATCCTGCCAGTCAAAAGTTTGACTTGACTTGCAATTTCAACTTATTCTTTTCAATTTCCAGTTATTTTACCAGACGTTTAAGTTTATAAGTTGACATTTTTAGATACTTAACTCAAATTTTAAGATGATCTAAATGTTCTGGATAACATCCTGAAATTTTGACTTAAGGATGGCAAAAATGTGTTTTTCAGTGGCAGAAGCTCCCATACTTCCCTCTCAAGGTATTTTCCTGTTAAAAGGACTTCGGTTCATTCTTTCTTCTATAATGTAAAGCTATTCGAGTCAGATTTTGTTTTGAACTGGAGCTTCATACATAAAGGTTTACTTAAATTCAACTTGATTTTTCTGTCAGTCTAGGAACTAATGATTTGTATTGGTATTGTATTGCCCAGCGATCCCCAACCCCCGGGCCATGGACCGGTAGCGGGCCGCAAGAGTTGAGCGGGTGTGAAATGTATGGTTTTTGGGATAATAGGTTAATTTTTTTTTATCAGTGTTATCTTTAACTTGATTTCCCTGGGTCTTTTCATGTTGTGTTATGAATAAATCTTTTTTTGGTACCGGTACTGGTTTTATTTTGTTGTGTTTATCCGCAACACCTTAAAGGCCGGTCCATGAAAATATTGTCAGACATAAACCGGTCCTTTGCGCAAAAAAGGTTAGGGACCAGTGGTATTGACTACTAATTAAAATACACCAGTTATGGTCAGTTATTTGTAGTCTTGGATATAAAAATAGTAGGGTTGCATGACTCGCAGATCAGTTTAACCCTCGTTTGTCATGTACTGGGTCTTTGTGCAGATCCTCAGTTCATCTTCTGTCATTGTAGTTCCCTTCCACCTCCCTTTAAGCAAACTTTATTCTGTCCCTAACAATAAAAAGACTTCAATAGTAGGTGGATGGAGCTTTTGTCTCTGAAATGACTTCTTTGATTTAATTTTATTGTACTTTGTATCATTTGCCGTTGTGGCTGTATTGCATGGCTTGATGACGTTGCAGAAAGGGGTCTGTGTATAGTTCATTACGTACCACAAACCTGCAAACCATAACAAAACATGTAAATGATAGGCACTAAACACGACTGATTACTTTTTCCCTTGATTTTGACGACTTGCATGGAGTTGAAAAATGTAATATTATTCATTCACTTAAAAAAGAATATACATTTGCTTTAAGGCGTCACTTCTTGTGTACTGAACTTACTAAAACGTTCCCTTCCTGTCTTTCTTCTCAGATCCTGTGTGGCAGGGAGATCCCTCGCTGGGTCAATCGCCTGGCCTACTTCAGCTCCTGCGTGCCATTCCTCCAGAGCTGCCTGCCCAAAGAGTGGCTGACCCCAGCTGCCTTACAGTCCAGTGTGAGCCAGGAGCTCCACGGAGGCGAACTGGAGGAGGCAGAGGATGCCGCCGCCACAGCCTCCCTGGCCTCCATGTCACCCTGCTCACCTTCTTCGTCCTCCAGCCCATCCTCCTCCTTGCCTCGTCACTCTCGCCACCAGCCCCGCAGGTAGAGGCTGCATGGCATGCTGAGAAACTCTGGGCTGGACTTGTTACATTGGCAGCCAGGTAACAGAAAACCTGCTGCAGTTGATGGATCTATCTACAGCCAAAGGTCCTGTCAGACTTATCCTCGCGCATGGTGGGGTGTCAGCCAAACACTTGAAGAAGTCCTGAGCAGTGAAAGGTTTTTTTTCCTGCCGAAGAAAGGAGCTCTTATTGCTGACAAAGACGGGAAACCTGTGGTCATCGCTCTCATCAATCTGAGATTTTAACTTTTTCACATCGAATATGTTTTCATTATTTTACCTGCCAAATTCCTTCATGTGTTTACCAGCCACATCCAAACTATACCAGTGCTTTATTTATCAGTGGTGTTGATCCTCACCAAAAGGGTATGATTTAGGTTTGTTAAGGCTTATGGCTGTGTTAAAAATGTCAGAGGACTGCTACAAGAATTAAAAGTGCTGGATGCTCTGCCTTATACTTTTAAGTACAGCAGGTCTGTGAGGGGATTTTATTGTCTTGAGCGACCTCCCAGTTATTGGTGGTTTTAAATGTCCAGGAGCTGAGCGCTGATATCATTTGATCTGTGGCTGGTAAATGTTTCCACTGCCGCCTGCTGTGTTTCAGATCAGGTCTGGGACAGGTGGCTGCTACAATCTTGAAAGTAACAGGTGGATTTTGGGAATTCTTACCCTTTGCCTCAAATTGCTGGATCCTCTGCCTTTTATTTTTTATTACAGCAGGCTGTAGGTTTGTAAACAGCCTAAACCAGAACTACAATCAGCTGCATAGACAAGAACAAACAGATCCAGAACCACTGTCAATCCATAAGACTTTCTTAGCTTCACAGAGACCCCCGCCTTTCTTCTATGATGTCAGATCCTCCCTCCCATCCTTAATAACCTCACATGCTTTGATTAAAGCAAACTAATGAAGTGGATTTACTTAATAATTATGAAGTAGCAACAAGTATTTCACCACCAATAATGTAAAATGTTTCTAAATCATTTCGTAGTTAGATTCTAGTGAAGGGGGGATTGATTTAAGATGGGAAACATTTCTTTCTCAGTAGCAGCTGCCAAGGTGCCTTAGAGCACCCACAAGTGTTCTGTTGGTCAACTGTAGAAGACTCCCAGTAGTTTAAAAGCATAAAGCAAAAGTTTTATCCGAAAAAAATCGAGGTCCACGCTCACACTTAGGACACAATGTCAGTCTGCAATGTATACAAATGTGTCTGAAGAAGAAGCGAAGGCAGACGAGCTCTTCTTTAACTGACCTCTCTTCAGCCTGCACTTCTCACAGTCTCTTTCTTCACACTGTGTCCAGTTAGGAGCGACACAACGTGGTGCCGTTTTGAAACATCGCTGCACAGTTTAGTTAAGTTTGATTATCGGAAGGCTATTGGTCGGGAAAACCTCCTGATTTACTCAGACAAATATATATCCTGTTAACAAGGAGACATATGCTGCATATTGTGTATTGTCCCAAACAAGAGCCATGGATGTTCTGAAAACATGTTATGAAGACTAACTGATCTTGGATACCCTTTTTTTTTTTTTTTCTTTAAATCCTTATAGTATTTCTACAAAATAAAGACTCTGGCCTTTTTGTCTGTTTTGCCCTTAAACTCAGGACTCTAAAAGGCTTTGTAACATGATCTTTTAAACTTTTTTATCCCACATGCTCATTTGCGTTGTCGCTGTTGCTTTTCTAATGCAGTTGTCACTCCATAGAGCTTTTTGGCAGCACGCTGAGGCAGTGCAGTTTTCTACTCTTCGCTCAGATTTAAAGAAAAAGCTTTTGTTTACATCCTGTATGCTTGTTTGCGAGCCTGCACACTTTTCCTTTTTCTTTTCTTCTCCTGTCTGTGCATGAATGTAGGAGCGTGTGCCCCCGCTTATAGTATAAGCGGTTTCAACGAGCTACCAACTGGGCCAAATTTACCACACATCTCTCACACACGACAAAGAAATATCAATCTTAACATATGTAGCACTGTTTTCAGGGTGTATTTACAAATGCGTCTGCATCTTTAAGAGATTAGTTGTATTCTTTTTGTGCTCACGCTAATTTTTAGCAACATTTTGTGGCAGTGTCAACCATGGGGTAAAAATTTTGTTTTCGGGACTTTCTAACAAAACTGAAGCAGTTTTACAGGAATCATGTAAAAGACACAAAAACCAGCATATTTTATCTGATTTGAAGTAAAAGGATTTAATTTTTAAAAGTTATTTTCACGTTTCACTAAATAAACTTTATAATGCACACTCACACGTACTGTTGTTGACGACGCCCTCTGCTGGCTGTTATTTGTACTGTTACTGAAGTTTCCTGTAACCATAACTTCAGGTGGTTTTCAGCTGTGATACAATCATCTGTCTGTCGACAAATACACAATAAATCGTTAAACACTAATCATCAACAAACTTAGTTATTATTTTACTTGTGATTGCCAAATTTAAGGTATAGTAAATTAAAATGACCAAAGATGGCTGTAACGTCACTTTCTTCTTCTTCTTTTGTTTCTTTTTACGTTGGCAGCCTATGAATTGTAATCACCCTCATTTCTTGTGTGCATTTATTTTCTCAGAGGAGTAAATATCCTTTAAAGTGATAACTTGTGAGATTTTGCGCCACCTTTGTGAGCTATGAATGCAGATCGGGAAACCTCAATCATTCAAAACACAGAAAAACTGACTTCAGCCGTTTCACAGTGAACTTGCAGAGACTTTAGATGGAGCCGAACACATTTGTATCTGTTGGAAAGTTATTAAAGAAAATATACAATCTGTGACTGTGTTTGTGTCATGGCGAATTAGTTTTATGGCTATAGATTTTGTTCTAGTAATGTGATTAAAGATCCCCCTTGTTTTAGGTTTAAATGTGTTAGTTTGTTAGTAGATTGTTTTCTTTAGGGTTTAAACATTTATTTCATGGGTCAATATTTGTTTTAGGAGGGCTTTGCATAATTTCAGAACTAAGCTGCAGTACAGAGTGACTTGGAGGGTTGACACTACTTTCTACAGAGAATTAAACCCATCTATGAGTAATCTTTCTCACTGGCAGATCGGCAGCAGAAGTTAGTTATTTAAGGTCATTGATCCTATTGTGTTTAAAAACACACCTAAATGCAACTCAGCAAACTCCCAAATCTCTGCTTTCATAGAGGTGCTCACATGTGTTGACAGTCATTTAATCAACTCTCGTAAGGGCTTTTTGTTAAATAATAAGATGGGATAAAAACTCATGTTTGGGTTATTTGAGGTTTTATTTACTCATTTTTATTTACCTCATTTTAAGGCCTGCTAAAGAACAGATTACTTTTATTTTATCCTGTTGTGTAAAATCTTATGAGTATACTGGAAGTGAAGTTACCTGAAAAGAAAGTTAAAATCTGAAATGACACCCAAAAAATATATCTCAAAACATGTCTTTTTATTAATTGTATTTTAAATTCATCAAATCATTTGGGATCACACTTAGTTTTTTTTAATTACTTTGTTCATGTTAAAAAAAAAATCTGGTGCATATTTGTTACTAATAAGCCAAAAATAAGTGCATATAATTAAAGTGTGAGTAGTAGCAGAGTGCCTTTTGATGCCGTAAAAGTTTATTACACACTGATGATCATGTCACAGTAACCTGTGTGTCTGATGTTTGATCAGTAGCTTTATCTCTTTGGGCCTCCTGGGTTATTGTGTAAAATGAAAATAGGTCACTTGTTTTCCAGCTCGCAGCCACATTTCCTCTCCTGTTTGTTGGAACAAAGTTAAAATGTTTTTCACCTGGACTTTGCTGGCCCTGCTTTTTACGTTGATTTTTCTGTGAGTATTCCTCCAAAGCAATAGCTGGGTGTCATCCTGGCAGAGTTTTTTATTTTTTACTGTCCAACTGATGATCCCAATTTTTTTTCCTTTTTTTGTAATACAGATATGGAATATGGCCATATCGGTTCTTCAAAAAGCTGGGGATACCTGGACCTCGCCCCCTGCCTTTTATTGGAACGATGCTGGGCATGAGGAAGGTACGCACAGAAACCAAACTCACCTTAGAGACTGGGATATGAAGAGCTGACTGATTTGATCCTTGAGAATTCGAGATGAGTGAGCTCTCTGTATACTTTAGATGTCCTATTCAGTGGTTTTTTGGGGTTTTTTTGGACACTAAAACAGATTTTCTTGTAACTTCTTGTAGGGATTTCTTGCTTTTGACAGAGAGTGCCATGCCAAGTATGGGGACATCTGGGGGTGAGTTCTTGCTTCATCAGTATACATACAAGAAATCACCAGGAGGTCTGTTGATATCAAATTCTGTCTGTGAGCCATGATCACTGGGACAGGGTGGAAAAAATATTCACTGGCTCACATTTTTCATGAAGCCATTTCTCCTTTTGGCCTGAAGCAGATCTCTTTTGGTGGAAGCATAGCATCCAATTTTCTTTATTTTAGGGATAAAAGGGGAAAAAGTTTGGGGACAGTCCTTTACAACACAAGGCGAAGTTTCTGAAATGCATATATCCTACTATATCTACACTAGGTTCACAAACAGGTTCACAGTATAAGTATGTCAAAATTCCTTTATCAATATTTAGATTAAAATTTATATAAAATGATTAATAGAAGATTTGAAAAGCAGTTATTTCACTTCAGCTTTAAATTTGTTCATCCTTTTTCTAGAGGTGGGAATCACCATACATCCCACGATACGATATTATCACAATACTTAACGCACGATACGATATTATTGCAATTTTTTAAAATATTTTGCAATATTCAGATTCTGTACATAAAGGTAAACTTTATCAATATTCATTTTATCTAATATCAAAGTCTCGCACTCAGTCATTCTCTCATTTCAGTCAGTTTTATTGTTGACAAACTGAACGGTTTGTATTACAGTCTAGTCCAACTTAACTGAATGCAACCATCTGGTACAATTATAGCTATTCTGAACTATGCAATTTATAAAAACTATGCAGCCCATTCAGCAACTGAAGAATTTGAAAGTAAATTAAAACAAAATATAATTTTGCATTAAATAAAAAAGTTTTACACTTAATTAAAATAAAACATGTCTTAAATTAAAAGAAGTAAACTGTCATGTTTATTGCTGCCACAAAAAAGTTAAACACATTTGGACAGTGAAGGAATGTCAGGATTCTTGCTCAGAAAAAGGATCAACATGCTCTGAAGTCAGAGTTCCAGTCCACAAAAACTTTTTTTGTAACAAAATATCAATTTCTGCTGTCCCTGTATCGATACATTATTAGCAAACAAAATATCACGATACTACACAGTATCGGTTTTTTCCCCCACCCCTACCTTTTTCCCTCTTTTTTGCCAAATGAATTCCAGTCAAAGTATGAGTTCAGGGAATGTGAAGTGAGAAACATATGAAAACCTACAAAAATAAACTCTATAAAATTTCTTATTCCATTGTCATGTATTTATTTAATAATAATAGGACCGTGATATCCCATTTGTAGCATGACGTGTAATCAATGTAATCACCATCGATGTGTAATTTTACTACCTGCACAGATGAAAAAACCTCTTTGATCTGAAGGTGCTTTACATATCCAGATGCTTAATAATGCCTTAAATGATTTGCTGTGATTTAAGATTTAAGATACTGTGAAAGGCTCTTTCCTTTTCTGCAGGTTGTACGATGGACATACACCGGTGTTAATGGTGACCGACCCTGAGATTGTTAAAACTGTGATGGTAAAAAAGTGCTACTCTTTATTTACCAACCGCAGGGTAAGAGGCTCCGCTTTCTATCGTACAGTAGAGTGAAAATTCAGCAAATCATGAAACCTTTGGATGTCCTGTCAGCGCAACACTCCCCAAAAGAGTTTTATCTTTTGCTTTTCTTTGAAAGCTAAACTGAAATATGTTCCCCCCTAGATATATCATTAACATGGGGTAAAAGGGCAGGTTAATAATTACGTTTTACTCAGGCCTGTCCAAACTGTTCTAATTCCATATACATTGATCTGTCCAAACAAAGTACTACATGAAAATGCATAATATAGAGCTATCACAGAAATGATACTACAAGATATTACAAATGATATTACATTATCTGAGCAAACTACACGTGTCGTTAGGGGACTGGAAGATGTTGGTGGAAGCAAACTGTAAACACTAAGAGTAGTTTTTCCTTGTCGTTTTCCTTTTCAAAGGATTCTGGTTTCTTCAGCGAACCTCTGGATGATGCAGTGGCAGCAGTGAAAGACAAACGGTGGAAACGGATTCGCAACACTCTCTACACTCTCTCTCCATGCTTCACCAGTGGAAGACTGAAACAGGTCGATATCATATGTGGGTTTATTAACCACGTCTGTGTTTAATGTGCGCTTACAACAAAAGTAATAGATTTATTTCTTGTTCAAATGTCATCACTTTGTATTGGGTTTTTTCCCTTAAACTACTTATACAGGCATCATTAAAAAGTTTTGGCACCTTTACACATAATATATAAAATCACTAACATTTAGCTGTTTCTTTGGATAATACTGACATAAAGGTACACAGTAATTTGAGGTATTTCAGGAAATCACTAACATAAGGCACTATTTATAGCTCCTAATAGCCTTATTCCACTATTTCCACTTTAATTTAAAGTGAATTGTGTTCTGGTACTTGCCGTTCCTTTTTTAAGTTCCCAAAGTGTGCAAATAATTATAGCTACATGTTGTCCACGGCTCAAAATATAACCACATAACAGACCCTTTTGGCTGCCCCCTTATTCAAAAGGTGTCATTACACCTATTACATTTAGCAGATTGTTATACTAAATTTCTGTCTTCTCCTGGTACCAAACCAGTGAGTTTTTGCTTGTTTGGCAATTGTGAAAACCACCTTATTATGGAGCTACCAAACATACCACTAGTTATTATTATTATTATTATTATTATTATTATTATTATTGGATATCACTAATTATTTATAAATCCTCAGAGAAATCAGTAATTTTCAAAATAAACAAGAATTTGACTCTTTTATTGCTCTTTTATTGTTTTATTTTGTGGCAAATATGGGTATATCTCTCCAAAATAAAATAAATATAATATAATTCTCTTATTTTGTCTTTTATTCCTTTAAGATTTTTCCCCTCGTTGCTCGCTATGCAGAACGACTTGTTGCAAAACTTGAGGAAACGAATTTAGATGAACCCATCAATGTCAAACAGTATGTTGTTAATCTGTAAAATGCCAGCACATTACACTGTTCATTCTAAATAACTGAAGCATTCACCACATGTATTTTCAAATCTTATAGGTTTGTAGCTCCTTACAGTTTGGACACTGTGACCAGTGCTTCTTTCAGTGTGAAGACAGACTCCATAAACAATCCAAACGACCCTATTAATGTTCAAATTATGAAGGTCCTTAAAGTCAACACTGGGCTTTTCTTTTTGCTAAGTATGACCTTACTTTTACTCTTTTACACAAACTCCATTTGATCATATCCTTTTGTTAACCACTCTTTGCTCTTCTTTCAGTGGCATTTCCCCTCAGTCGTCGTCTGTTAAAGCAGCTCAAAATTGAGATCATGCCCGAAGAAAACATAAACTTTTTCCTCAACATTATCAAGCAATTTAAAGATGAGCATCATGAAGCCAAATCTGTAAGCATTATATCTGTAAAGGAAGAACAACATTATCTAGTCTGTATGCACTTACCTCTGGGTCATTTTCAAGTCCTGCTCTGAATGCTTGTCTGCTTTAAACCAGACACGACCAGACTTCCTGCATGTGTTGATTCAAAGTGAGATCCCAGAAAAGAACTATAAGAACAATGAAGAACAGCCAAGTAAAGGTATGTTTTTATCGGAGAAGTAACCAAGCCCAAGTTAGCCTCCAGTCTCAAATATGAGGTCTCCGATATATGATGGAGTCTTAAGAGCTTTGTATTTGAGGATGAGGATTTTAAATTCAATTCTATATAGCTGTATACTGATCATTTATTTTAACAGTTAATGTCAAAATACATATTTTAAGAGGGAAGAATACAGGGCAGAGCTCACGAATGTAGTTGAGACAAGCTCTGGGTGATAGTGAAGAGTTTTGAGTGTTTTTAAGTGTTGAGGGGAAACTGCCAAGAATGTGTTTGGTGTATCCTCTGGATAGAGGAAAGAGGACAAGGAGATTTAGTGATTTAAAAATGGAGAAGTACAAGAAAGTATTCAAACGTAGAGGTTAGCGAAGAAAATGTGAACTAGGGAGATGAAGACAGTACACAGGAGAACTGCTCTTGCTTTCACAATGTTAATGGGCACATTGACAGATGACCTCAGGCAGTGCTATTCACCGATGACATTTATAGTGAGCGAAGGGAGCAGGTGGAAGAAAGCCTGAAGAGATGGAGGTATACTTTGGAGAGAAGAGGGAGGAAAGTCAGTAGATGCAAGACAGAATACATGTGTCTGGATGAGAGGGAGACAGATGCTACAGTGATGCTGCCAGGAGGAGAGATACTGAAGCTATAGGAGTTTAATAGACTTGTAGTCAAGACCGCATAAACCGTGACCAAGACGAGACCAAGACCGAGACAAAAAAAGTCTTTAAACTGAAAAATTGGCTTTTGAAAAAATGACCCGGGCTTAAGCCCAGTAAGCCACCCACCCACCGCTCCGCCAGTGGTTGACTCCAAATCTCCCGAACACTATTTCAATCTGAGAAGTAAGACCAAGTCAAGACCAAGACCACATAAAAGTGGTCTCGAGACATCCAACTCTAGAGTTTAAATACTTGGGGTTAACCATCCAAAGCAACAGATAGTCCAGAAGAGAGTGGACTGGACATAGAGTGAAGTGGGTGTATATGAGTGTGAGGGGGGAAAGCTAACAAGAATGTAGTTGTGTCTACATGTAAGGCTTAGAAATGGTGACCCTAGAAAAGGCTGAGCTGGAGGTGGAAAGCTCAGGTTGAGCACTTTAACGATAAGGTTAGAGAACGAAGGCTGAGATAGTTTGTACATGTCCAGAGGACGGATAGTAGATATGTTAGGTAAAGGGTGTTGAAAATGGAGCTGCCAGGAGGGAGGAAAAGGGAAAGACTCAGAGGAAGCTCATCTATGTAGTAAAGAAGGACACGCAGAGCGTTAGTGTGACAGAGGAAGATGCTAGCGACAGTGTGAGATGGAGAAAGATGATCTGCTGTGGCGACCCCTACAGGGGGCAGCTGAAAGAAGATCAACAGTATTTGGTCCCTGCTCCACTTTTTATTACCATAAAATCTTTTGTTTTTTGTTTTAGGTTTGACTGAGCATGAGATACTTTCCCAGGCCTTCGTCTTCACCCTTGGAGGCTACGACACCACTAGTAACACTGTTACTCACATCCTTTATAATCTGGCTACAAACCCTGATATGTTGCAGACCTTACACAAAGAAATCGATGATAACCTGAAGGAAGATGTACAGTAATTCTTTACATAATTTTCTGTCATCTTTGTTTGAATAATGGACAACAATTTATTTTCTTTTTGTGCTTGCCACCTCCATTATTTGTCTAGGCGCCCATTTTATACGAGGAGCTGACCAGTCTAAAGTACCTGGACCAAGTTATACTTGAATCAATGCGACTGTTTCCCGTTGCCCCTCGCCTCGACAGGGTGTGCAAAAAAACTGTCAAAGTGAATGGCCTCACCATCCCTGAGGGAACTGTGGTTGGAATTCCTGTGTGGGTGTTGCACAAAGACCCATGCTACTGGGACTCACCTGAGCTTTTCAGACCAGAGAGGTAAATGTGTGCCATTACAAACTTATTGAAAACTCATCCACTGGGACATAATTCTTAAAGAAAATGTTGTATTTGTGCAGAGTAACCCAGCCATATCTCTCTTTTTACACACCTGTTATGTTATTTTTGAATGTTTCAAATAGCGGAATAAACGTAAAAGTCTCATCTGTATCTGCAGGTTCAGTAAAGACAGCGGGGAGGAGGTGAACCCATACACCTACATGCCATTTGGACTCGGCCCTCGTAACTGCGTTGGGAGGAGCTACGGCCTACTCACCACGAAGATGGTTATTGTCAGTCTCTTGCAGAAGTACACTTTGGAAACATGCAAAGAGACCATGGTAATAGCAGCACTCTGCCACATTCAGACTGTCATACAACTATGCTGTCATGTTCCTGATTTTCTTTTCTTTTTCTTTTAGATTCCACTTCAGTTTGACTGGAAGTTTCAGCCAGTTCAGCCTGTAAAACTCAAGTTTGTTCTCAGAAAAGAGTAATCTAAGAGGGAACGTCTCCAAATCCCATCAAACATGTTTTTATATCTGCTGCCAAGATAAATTCACTGAGTTGATATTTTCAACTATTTTAAAATGTTATTGACAGTGGCGCGGCTGCCCCTCTGTTGGTCTTCCTTGGTCTCTTGTGTTCTGGGGGCCTCTGGATGTCTGGAGTTTTGATCTCCTCCATACCTGCTTCATGCCCTGGAGGACGGGGCTGTGCCCCCCCCCTCCCACACCCTCTAGCAGATTATTACATGAAGGAACCTTTTAAAAAACAAAAAACAAGCGCGTCCATGCTCACAGGTGTACCACGGGTGATCACACCCACAAACTACACCCTTTTTGGCTCCTACCTCAAAGCACACTGTGTGCTGTCGATCTTATGTGCTGCACAATAATGTTTAATATTTAGTATTTACTGTCATATTCCCATATATCATTGTGATGTTGTTTATTCTATTACTCTTGTTCTCTTCTGCTTGTTTTCTTTTTTCTTTCTCAGCAGGTGACCCAGGTGATCGATATATGCATTTTCTTTTTTTTCTTCTTTTTTTTTCTTTTTCTGCTCATTCTGTTGGTTTTTGGTTTTTGCCCTTCTCCCCCGTCCCTCTTCTCAGCTGTTTCTCTTTCCCTCTTTCTTTCTCCCCTTCTTTCCCCCAGTCAAGTCTGTCCCATATTCAGTAAGTGAAAATAAAATAAACAATAAAAGGTGAATCAAATGGACCATTATGGCAAGGCTGGGGTGGTCAATTTGGTAAAGTAAATCCATTGGGCATCTTTCTTTGCCTTTAGACAACAATTCTGATGGCAAAAGAGCCAAACGGGACAGGCAAAAAAAAAAAAAAGTTATTGAATGAGAGCAGGTTAAACATCTGATTTTGCTGTGTTGATCTCTTTTAATTACTTTTATTTAAATTGTGTTGAAAAATTGATCTATTTTGTGTCCAAAAGTTACACCAGTCGGTGTCTTAAATGGACCTTACACTCAAGAGATTTTGACTTTAGCGTTTATACATTTTTAAATTGTAATTGCATTTATTAAATCATAAGGCTACTGCTTGTGCGATACACCTCTCACTGATGACTGTAGTTTTGTTATTGGTTGCATCTGTCTCCATCTAGCTTCAACAGCTGGCAACAAGTGTTTGATTTGTTCTAAACTTTGACGACTGTCCATTGCTGGTTATATAGAAAGAAATTTCAGATTGTGTCATCAAATGCAAATACTTGCATCGCCTGTTTACCGTCAGTGTCTTTCATGTTTTCACAATAAAATATGTCCAAAATCCAAAGTTCCAGCATATGTTTCCAGAACTGAGCCTCTGTGCTTCTTCTACGCTGACAATTTGGACAAATTTCGTTTTCCAGAAGGAATAGTTCCACATGCTCCTTCTTTTATTATTTTTAACAGTGGTATGTTGAACAAATGCAGTACTGAGTAAAAATCTGTAAAAAACTGTAAAGTTTGCCTGTTTCTACAGTAACAGGAATGCTTTCATGTCAACAGCATCAGCCAAAAGATCAGATTATCCTTCATTTTCAGGACCCTCATCACATGCACTGAACATTAACTTTTTACTCCTAAGTGGATTTCACTGGAAAGGATTTCAAAGGTGATACAAAGTTTCCTAGTAAATTTTATTCCATTTCATCAATTTTAAAACAACAAATAGGTTTAAGATAAGCTAAATGGAACTATTATGCTTTTAATAATTTTAACTTATATAAGTTGCAATGCTGATGGTTAACCAGTTTCAAATAATAAAGTCCGAACGTGTAAAATCCCTAGAAGGCTCACTGAGCTCCACCTACTTTGTTTAAATCATCCCTTTAGAGGGTTAAAATGGCTTGTTTCATAGACAGGATAAACTGGGGAGCTGAATAAAGCAGCGGTCTTAAACCTTTTTTGCACCACAGACCGGTTTATGCCCAACAATATTGTCACAGACCAGACTTTAAGGTGTTGCGGATAAATACAACAAAATAAAACCGGTACCAAAAAAAAAAAAGATTTATTCATAACACATGCAAAAAGGCCCAGGGAAACAGAGTTAACAGCCATCACTGAGACATGCATCACTGCCAGCAGCATATTTAATGCACATGAAAGATTTTAAAAAGACTGTCTCTAGACTGTGTAGACTGTATTTATTTTATATTTATTTACTTTGTACTTATTAACCCATGAAACGCATACACAAAGAGAAATCAAAAGTAATCAAACAATGATGAAAAGCAAATTTAAAGCAGAAGTGTCACAAAATAATGTTTGCACAAATCCAAAGTCATTAAAATTTATTAATGCTGCAAGAAAATTCAAGTGTTTACACTGCACTGACTTGATAACCTTTTAAAATTTAGCAGTAGAAAAAAGAAATGCACAATGAACGTCATCATGGTAGCAGCTCCCTCTTAGACTACTGATTTCTGGGAACAAACTTGAGTTTTACAGGCTGAACTGGCTGAAACTTCCAGTCAAACTGAAGTGGAATCTAAAAAAGAAGAAGAAAAGAAATGGATGTAACATCAGTGACAGGACAGCAGAGTACCATGACAGTCTGAATGTGGAGGTTTGCTGCTCTCACCATTGTCTCTTTGCATGTTTCCAAAGTGTACTTCTGCAAGAGACGGACAATAACCATCTTCATGACGAGGAGGGCGTAGCGCATCCCAACGCAGTTACGAGGGCCGAGTCCAAATGGCATGAACGCGTATGGGTTCACCTCTTCCATGTTGTCTTTACTGAACCTGCAGATACAGATCAAACAAACCTTTAAAAATGTAGATATGTAGAGTCCTATAATTCACTGTATTTAACCACGATGTTCAGGCAACCTTCAACATAAAGAGTAGGAGGGCGTAGTTCAGGGCAAAAATACACTGTTACTTCTAAAGCTTTGAGGAGCTCTCGGGCCTGATTGAGGACAAGTCAGATCAAAACCAGCTCCACACTGCAGCACCCTCAGTCTAGGGGAACAGTTCAGCTTCCAGAACAACAATGACTCAAAGCAGACAGCTGCAGAGGTTTTGGGATGAAAAAGATAAAGCAAACGTCCCAGATTTCACTAATTATTCTCTCTTGTGGAGAGCGACAGGGTTCTTCATAACCTTGTGATGACACACCTACATGCACATTTACCTCTCTGGTCTAAAAAGCTCAGGTGAGTTCCAGTAGCGTGGGTCTTTGTGCAACACCCAAGCAGGAACCCCAACTATGGTTCCCTCAGGGATGGTGAAGCCATGCACCTGCACAGTTTTTTTGCATGTCCTGTCAATTCGAGGGGCAGTGGGAATCAAACGCATTGATTCAAGTATAACTTGGTCCAGGTACTGTAGACCGGTCAGCTCCTCGTATGAAATGGGTGCCTAGACAAATAAAGGCAGCAAACACAAAAAAAAAAGACAATATGTAAATGATGTCCACTACTAAATCAGTGATGGAAACACATCATGGGACGAATTACTGTACATCTTCCTTCAGGTTAGCATCAATTTCTTTGTGCAAGGTCTGCAACGCATCAGGGTTGGTGGCCAGATTATAAAGGATGTTAGTTAGAGTGGTACTGGTGGTCTCGTAGCCTCCAAAGATGAAGATCAAGGCCTGGGAAAGCATCTCATGTTCAGTCAAACCTACGGAAAAAACAAAATCAAAGTCCGTTTATAATTAATATAATAACCCTAAAGTAATCAGTAACTAGTACTGAGCCAATCTCACACTGAAACTGAAACTGATCAAAAAGAAAAATGCCAGAGACAGTTTCCTAAATCTGAAGGTGATGTGAAGAACCACATAATGTTTGACACTCCTGAGGAATTACTTTAATAGCTAACAGATAGTTAACTGAAGGTAAGACAAACTAATTATTGCAAGTGTTTTGTGACATGGATGCAGTGTTTTGAGCTTGTGTGTTCTCTATTTTGTGTCTCTAGGTTAATTATAGCTGACTTTTGTCTGTTCCCTTTTGTGCCTGTACTGTGAAGACAGTCATGTCTCTGTATTCGTTACCTGTGTCAAGTCCTCTCGTCTCCCTCTCAGTGTAATTTCCTGTTTTATTGTGATAGTCTCTTGTCTCAGGTGCTTTGTGTTCAGTTTAACTTCCCTTGTCTTGTTATTCCTGATTTGCTCCCGGTGTATTTCCCAACTGTTTCCCATCTCCCCTCATTACCTGCTGTTTATTTATTGTCTGTCTCTCCTTGTTCTTTGTCATGTTGTCTTCTCATGCTGTGTGTCTTCTCCTGTGTGTTAAATTTCTCCAGTAGTTTCCAAGTTCCAATAGCTCTAAAATGCTGTATATAGAAGTGGTAACACCAACGAGAAATAGATATCCCATTTCTCCTGGCTACTCTTCCATGGCTCCCTCATCTTGAAGTACAAAGCCCTTAATGCTCCACAATATCTCATACACCTCACAGTGCCTCATAGGGCCTGTTACAGTCCAGGCTCACTTTGACATCTCTCACATACAATTTAAAACACTTAGCCAGGCTGGCTATATAAATACGTACAGGGATATTACAGAGGTATGTACAACCCTTCATTTAATTATCACCCAGGTCCTGATTTATAACATGTAACACTGGCAGGTCTGCAGTACATGTGACATGAGTGACTTGAAAGTGGACAACAAGCTGAGCCCTACACTTTGCCCTACTCGCCCTGATACTTCTGTGGTAAAAACATACCTTTACTTGGCTGTTCTTCACAATCCTTATACGTCTTTTCTGGGATCTCACTCTGAATCAACACCTGCAGAAAGTCTGCTCGGTCCTAGATAAGAAAAAAACATTCATCGTTAACAACAATTCCAGAAACCATGTATGAAATTGAATATTCCAAAGTTAAAACAATACTAGAGTAGCACACACAAGTTAATAGAGGTAAAATTTATGTAGCGCCAAATCAGAACAACAGTCGCCTCAAGACATGTTGTACGGCTTTTTGCCGCACACACCTCATGGATGAAAACAGGCGTCACTGGTGTTCTTGTCCAAAACTACATCCAAGAACAAACAAACAAACAAACAAACAAAAACAAAAAAACAAACAAAAAAAAAAACGCAGAAGTTTCTCTAAAGTTTTTCCCTGAAGTAATTTTTCCTAATGGTCACCAGGGGGTGACTACTCTTGTTTCAAAGCTACATAAAACAACACTTTAGCTACATTGTGTCAGTAAAC